TATAATATATATAAAATAAAAAAATATTGCCATAAAAATATCTGTTTGAATACTGCTAAAACATAATTCTCAGTCATATCTTGTAAGAAAGGATGGCAATTAAATATTGGTAGTTAATTATGTTAATTGTATGAAAAAAACCCCAATCTTAAATCATGTGTTAATGCACGTTGACTAATCACTGATACTTTAGCTTGTGGAAGCTTGTGGAATTGGAAGAGAAAAACAATTCCGGTTTAATAGGAGAGAGGAGCCACAGCTGAATTCTACATCTTAGTCTGGGATTGAGCACAACATGTTAACATAGCATAGAGCTCAAGCTTCTAAAATGAGCGTAAAACTCAGATTGTCTTGTCTGAAAATTAATTGATTTTGGTTAAGAAAACAACTTATTTCTAAAGTGTATGGAGATTCAAATTAAGATGTATAACAAGAATTGCATTTGTCTAATTCTGCTTTCCAACACATATGAACTACTATGACTACTTTTTTTCAGGCCTACATTTTCTAAAAGTGGTTAAATTTTAATTTAGTATTGGCACATTACTTACAACTTACATGAATAAATTTTAAATATCTATACTGATTGGAGAGGGAAGATACATTGTTCTAGTACTCCTCACTTTTTAAGGGAAGCTTTCCCAAGTCATAGTCTTCTAAAAGGGAAGAAAACAAATATTATTTTCAATAAAAGCATTTTCACTGTATTAGATACCACTTTCTGCCTCAGTTTTTTTGCTGGTGAATGCTTCTGCAGGTCGGGCAAAGGTATTAATTATCTCCCTAGATTATGTTTTTCCCTCAGAGATTACTTGTAAAAAGTTAGTCCAGTAGATTAAATTAAATGCAACTTCCACTATGAGTTTATCTGGGGTAAATTTCCTTTGCTATCATGTTTACAACAGGAACCCTGTGTGTACTTGTAGCATATTGCATATGCAAAGTGTGTGCATCTAGCACAGATTCATAATCTATTTTTGGAGCTTTGTCTCAGGCAAATGTCAAAGGCTCTTGGCTCTTTCCTTTACTAAAAATGATCTTGGAATCAGGAGCAACCTCCACTCCTATATAAATAGAAAGGCTTATGGGTCTTCCATATGTTTGCATTATCCAAAGTTTTAGCAGTTACAACACTTTTGTGTAGTGGTTCATTCAGACTAGTTTTCTGAACTGAATTGCTCTGTAGATCATCAGCTTGATCTCCTTCCGCTCCTGCATAGTTGTGAATTGTTATGTGTAAATACCGCTTCAAATCTTTCCTCACCTAAGCAGTCTAATTTGACACATGAAAGGTCCTCAGTTTTACTGATTTTAATCTGTTCTCCATCCACAGGGACTCACTTAGAGAAGTGGTTGTCCAGTCTAGTAGGTCTCAGACTGCTTTAGTCTGGGCTGGTCAGGTTCCCTTTCTCTGTGAACCTATGCCCTGAGCAACGATTACTCTTTCTTGCCTCCACATCCTTATTGCTTCCTCCCATGGTGCAGCCTGGCAGTTCCTCAAGCATCAGATTTTCTCAGTTGCTGATTGTGAATTCAAAGTGATGACCTACCTCTGAGTTGACTTCAGCTGACTGAAAATTGTTGGTTTAAACTTTACTCAAAAAGCAGAAATCAGTCTTCCTTTCTTCCTTCTTTTACCATTTTTCATTGTGATTTTTTTTAATTATTATTTTTAATTTTTTTTAACCGGAATATTAAGGGAAAATAATATGCCTGTGTGGAGTTTGTATCATTTAGGAAATTACAATTTTTAAAATAGTCTATTTGACAAACTGAAATGTCAGATTTGACTGCAGATGACTGAAGTGGAAAGTATGTTACATTGCCCATACAACATAGGCGTTTCAATTGGTCTAAACCTGTTTTCATAAAATACTAAGACACCAAAGTTCATGCTTTTACAGAATACAAATTATATTTAGGCAAACATGAATGCAGTAGCTGATACTTACCAGATCGTTTATCCCTAACATTAATTTTGTCTTTAAATCTTCCATGTAAATCACACCACGCTGTTTACCTTTTACTGATCTTCTGCATGAGTTCTTTTCTGCAGTGTAAGTGGATGTGGAAGCCTAACAAGTTATGTGTTTTGCTTGAAAGTTGCCTATGTATCAAAGTAGTACATTACTTTTCAATGTATAAGCTTTGAATTTTTAAGTAAGCATAATTTTTCTTGTTTTTTTCTTTTGAGATGAACTTTCTCTTAACTTTTCATTCAAAGTGCTGTGCATCTTTAAAGCACTAGGACATAACATGTCATTTGACTGAGATTCTGAATGTAATTTTGCTTTGAGCTTGATATTGGGAGCAGGTGACTGCCTGTTCTTGTACATTTGCTTGCATGATAAAGATGCATCCACATAGATTTTGCTTTAATAGTAGTGGTTATGTAACATGCAATGTTTTCTTTGTTTTAATCAACATTGTCCTGTTCCAAAATATCTCGACCATTCACTTGTATTTTCTGTGTTTTAAGCTTGATACCAGTCTGTCAAAACTTATTGTATCCTCAATCATAACTAGTCTAGTCTTTTGATATTATTCATTGTTGTGACAATTTTCTTCTTTTATTCTAAAATAATGAATGAAACATCTAGGTCTATTTTAGTTACTTATACTGCTGTCATCATAGGACAGTAAGTAGTTTTTGGTTCGATCTCTGATACATAAACCTGGAGTCTTACCTGGTGCTTTTAAGATTGTTTAGTTTTGCAGAGGGAACCACCACTGTATGATTTAGAAGTGCTGTACTGCAGAACAGATATTAAGACATTAAACCTAAGATAGCAAAAATAATATGTACCCACAGCAGCCCTATCAGTTGTCTGCATAATGCTTAAGTATTCTGTTATGGTAGTATTTTTTTAATAGTATAGCAAAATATAACATTTTCAGCCTAAAATTTCTGCAGCAAACAAAAGAGACTTTGTTAGCAAGACTGAGTATTTTTTGCATTAGGATCTGTTCTATTTATTTATACAGTACATTTGATAATTCTGTCGAGATTTGATATACCTTGTGCATGAAAGGTGCTACATACTGTTCAGTTCCTCTGGGAGTCTTATTTCCATTTTCTAGTGTATAGGTTCTTCTAACAGTGCAAAAACTCTGGTTTGTTTCCATCCTGTCATCACCCATTACACGTAAAGGACAAGTCTCAAAGTCTGTGTGACAGGACAGCTCAGAAATAAAAGAAGTGTGGAATATTATTGTTTCAATGGCTGTTCAAGAGCCCCTTAATCATTATCATGGAATAAAAAAGCCATGTTTTAAAGATACTAGTATAACATAGTACAGTTCATGCTACATCAACTTTGTTTATGCTAATGTGTTATTACAAATTTTATTATGCATTGCCCAGTCATTTATTTGTTCCAGTCAACATTGTTCCAGTCAGGAGTTTCTACTGTGTTAGATGTTCTAAATGCTCACAGGTGAGGGACTTGGCCTCCAAACATTTGCAGCCAAATCTGGGGAATGGGGAAGGATGAAAAGGTTAATAAAATATTAAAAATTCCCACATGGGTTATACATTTTAGCTACTAAACAAGTTAGAAGTGTTAATATTTTCACAAGCAGTGCATGGACAATTTTTTAACTCATCAAACATTTTGTGGGTGGGTTTTTTGAGTAAAATAATCTGGCCTATTACAGGAATCAGGGAGCAAAAAGAGAACTACAGATGCAGCATTTGTCCAATATCAAGTATAGAAAATTATGCTTAGATGTTTTGTTTAAATGTGTACCTTTTACTATCCATCTACCCTTGGCCTTGTATCAAGTCTAAATGAGCTTTTAGACCCCTGTCAAGCTTTGATGAAGAGAATCAAATGTATGAACGTATTTGGCAGCCTTATTAGTGGTTGGAGTACAGAAGCTTCACCTACTACCTAGGTTACTATATAATGCTGCTGTATCACTCCTCGATAGGGCAGTTATCACTTTTCTACATGTGGGATCCCTTTTGATGATATAGCTGTATATTTTGCTCTAGCCATGCTGATTTCAGGATTGAATTTGCAGGGGTGGAAATTATGTGCTGTCATTCTGACTGGTACAAAAGTTTCTAAGTTTTTGAGGACATTTCATATGAAACGTGTAATATCACTATAATTACAAAATGTTCAGTAGCATTAAAAAATGTTCTGATTACTTCAAATTTTTAAATAAAGCATATCGGCTTTCCTCTTTTCATGTCAGTTGTCTTTACTATGTTAAACAGAGGGAAATTTAATCTCTTAGGTTGATCAGGAAAACACAATTCAAAAGAAAAAGTTAGCATCCAGTGCTACTATGTGTCCCACAGGTTCTTCCACTTTGATCAAAACTGCCTCCACTGGTGAGTTAGAGGAGCATATTGCGGCCACTACTGGTGTTATTACTGTTGCTAGCACATCTGCTGATGTTGCTGTATCCAGTGCAGTGACCATCTATAGACAACCTTCTGAAGAGCAACAAGTGCAAGCTATGAATATAAGAAAATCAATTCTGGAGTCGGCCACTTCCAAGGAAGCACTCTCCCTTCATCAAGCAAATTTACAAAGCACAAGAAGACGACCAAGAAATGCTGAGCAGATAGAAAGAACTAAAGAACTTGCAGTTGTTACTCATAGAGGTATTGGATATTATTTTACTTGTGCCCATGTAGTTACGAAAAAATATTTTGTATAAATTAAAAGTGAAAGGTCAGGTCTCCATTCAGGAAACGTAATTGAACCAAATGGGGAAGGGATTAAATCTGCTTAAAATTGAGTTCTAGTGGGGCAGCCAGATGAAAAAATGAAATTAATTATAATATTGTCATAGTTATTTAAATTGATTTATAAAAAGACAAAAGGGAAAGATAAGGAATTTTCTTTTGATGCCACTTTATAGCTTATATCATTATATTTCACTATCAAGCCTAATGTAAGTGAGATCTGATGAAAGTTTAGAGAACTGAGATTAAAATATCAATCTATTCTGCATATGTGTTTAGACATAAACTATAGCATAAAAAATGTACTTTATAAATAGCTGCTTTGTTCTAAACGAATCGGTGATGCAGTTGTAATCATCTCCCTTCTGCTTAAATCTTCAGCAAAGTTTTTGCTTTTTAAAACATCTGTACATTTTTATTCTATCAAACATGAAATCAATGAATGAAGCAAAGTTTAGAACACTAGGAAAGTCAGTTGCAAGTATTAAAGTAGTAAAGCTAAAGATTTGATATATTCCTATATTCAGATGATTTAATCCACATGCTAAAGTACTAATAAGGAACAACATTTGGAGTATAAACAAAGCATTATCTATTGTGTTAAAAGGTAAATTACAATATCTGAAACATGAGGCTGAGAAACAGCAATGCTGGAATGTCTTGATTTAAGCAGCATAGACATTCAGAAACAAATTGCATGTGGTATGTTTTTACATATACACAAGTTAAGGGAACGAGCAGCTTAATTTTGCAGGTTAATGTTGAATACTATTTATTATATATTTTTAATTTTTATTGTGTGCTAATCCATTGTTTCATGTTAATCTATTGTGCATGAAGCATTTATAAACACATATATGGAGGAGGAACATCTTTTCTATCACAAGCAATTTGTAGAAGTCTCATTATATGGTTGATATTTTGTAAAGACAACTTTAGATTGGAATCTGATGTCCTACTGGATCAGATAGACACCTAGTATAAGTTATTGTAGCTTCATTTACTAACACCTATTGAAATAGCAGAGCTGCAGTTCTAGAGAATTCTAAAACATGTTATATAAGTAGGATAACTGAAAAACAAGCACTGTATTTGGTTTGCATATGAAACAAATCATTAAACAGCTATTTATGTTTCATTTTTATTAATTTCAGTACAAATCTGAAGTATTTTTGTGGTTATCAAGTGGTATAAATTAATAGAATTTGATTTGTACTGGTTGTGTGGCTATGCATTCACTTCAGAACATCTTTGGTCAAGTTAAAAAAAGCAGGCTTATTTTCGGTTATGAGGGAGTATCTGAGGGCCTGTAATAATCTCTTCTAATTTAAAGATGTAAGAGTGTACTAATTTGGCAGTTAAATTTGGCAGTAATTGTGATATACATACAGTTTCTTCCATCTCCTGTTTGTAATCATTACACTACAATGTCCTCTCCTCTATTTTCTCACTGTCCTTTTCTGACATCATTTAATATAAGATATAGGTAAGGCACATACTTCTGAATTACTTTGTTATATTAAAGTGCTAAACCTTACATTATGAAAAAAAAAAGAAAAAGAGACCAAGATACTGCTAAAATAATGTTATCGATATTAAAGTGCTAAACCTTACATTATGAAAAAAAAAAGAAAAAGAGACCAAGATACTGCTAAAATAATGTTATCGTGCTTATTTCATAGAATCATAGAATCATTAAGGTTGGAAAAGACCTCTAAGATCATTGAGTCCAACCGTCAACCCAACACCACCAGGCCCACTAAACCATGTCCCTAAGCACAA